GACTACTACTACTACTACTACTACTACTACTACTACTACTACTACTACTACTACTACTACTACTACTACTACTACTACTACTACTACTACTACTACTACTACTACTACTACTACTACTACTACTACTACTACTACTACTACTACTACTACTACTACTACTACTACTACGACTACTACTACTACTAACTACTACTACGACTACACTACGACTACTACGACTACTACTACTACTACTACTACTACACTACTACTACTACTACTACTACTACTACTACTACTACTACTACTACTAACTACTACTACTACTACTACTACTACTACTACTACTACTACTACTACTACTACTACTACTACTACTAGTACTACTACTACTACTACTACTACTACTACTACTACTACTACTACTACTACTACTACTACTACTACTACTACTACTACTACTACTACTACTACTACTACTACTACTACTACTACTACTACTACTACTACTACTACTACTACTACTACTACTACTACTACTACTACTACTACTACTACTACTACTACTACTACTACTACTACTACTACTACTACTACTACTACTACTACTACTACTACTACTACTACTACTACTACTACTACTACTACTACTAACTACTACTACTACTACTACTACTACTACTACTACTACTACTACTACTACTACTACTACTACTACTACTACTACTACTACTACTACTACTACTACTACTACTACTACTCATCGTATTCTTCCTGCTCGTATTATTTACGGCGCTGATGGCGGCGGCGGCGAGTGTGGCCACCGCACCTCCTGCAACTTGAGGCGTAGAAGGTTTCTGTAGTCTTCTGAAGACCCTCCCAAGGAAAAGCAATACCGCTCCCGAAAACTCTTGAGAGCGTCTCATTCCGGCCTCCCCCATCATGTCTGCCTCCCTCTTCCCCCATGAGGGTCGTCCCCCAGGGTCGGCGGCACCGGCCGTAAGGCCTCATCAATATTTCCCAACCAACCTGTTGTTGGGTCCTCGTTTTGAAGAGACGGCGCCCCGCGTCACTCACCATCCTCCTCCCGCCTCCGCCTTCTTCTTGTCTCTGCCCTCCGCGCTCCGCATGTCCTTCTCGTTTTCGCCATCATCGTCATCGCCATCGTCATCGTCACCATCATCGTCACCATCACCATCACCATCACCATCACCATCACCATCATCATCTTCATCTTCATCATCATCATCATCATCATCATCATCATCATCATCATCATCATCATCCACATCGTCATCATCATCATCATCATCATCACCATCACCATCTTCATCTTCATCTTCATCTTCATCTTCATCTTCATCTTCATCTTCATCTTCATCTTCATCTTCATCATCATCATCATCATCATCATCATCATCATCATCATCATCATCATGAGCATGATCACCAGCATCGTCGTCATCAGAACCATCATCGTCATCACCGCACCCACCGCACCAATTTCGGCACACGCCTCACTCATTTCGTGGCCCCATAGGGGGCTCCGCCGAAGGCCCCAGTGGCAGGGTTCGCATAGCACCACCGGCCCCATTTCGGCACACCCCTCACACGTTTCGTGGCCCCATAGGGAGCTCCACCGAAAGCTCAAGTGGCAGAGTTCGCATGGCACCGCCGCCTCCATTTCTGCACACCGCACCCCTTACACTTTTCGTGGCCCCATAGGGAGCTCCGCCGAAGGCCCCAGTGGCAGGGTTCGCATGGCACCGCCGCCTCCATTTCGGCACACCCCTCACACGTTTCGTGGCTCCATAGGGAGCTCCGCCGAAGGCCTCAGTGGCAGGGTTGCATGGCACCGCCGCCTCCATTTCTGCACACCGCTCACACGTTTCGTGGCCTCATAGCGAGCTCCGCCGAATGCCCCAGCCGCCATTTCGGCGCACCCGTCACACGTTTCGTGGCCCCTATGGAGCTCCGCCGGAGGTCTGAATGGCAGGATTCGCATGGCACGGCCGCCTCCATTTCGGCGCACCCCCTAAACTTTTCGTGGCCCCATGGGGAGCCCCGCCGAAGGCCCCAGTGGCAGGGTTCGCATGGCACCGCCGCCGCCATTTCGGCGCACCCTTCACACGTTTCGTGGCCTCACAGGGAGCTTCGCCGAAGGCCCTAGTGGCAAGGTTCGCATGGCACCGCCGCCTCCATTTCTGCACACCCTTCACATGTTTCGTGGCCCCATAGGGAGCTCCGCCGAAAGCCCCAGAGGCAGGGTTCGCATGGCACCGCCGCCTCCATTCTGGCACACGCCTAACATGTTTCGCGTGCCCATAAGGAGCTCCGCCGAAGGCCCCAATGGCAGGGTTCGCATGGCACCGCCGCCTCCATTTCTGCACACCCCTCACACGCTTCGTGGCCCCATAGGCAGCTTCGCCAAAGGCCACAATGGCAGGGTTCGCATGGTACCGCCGCTTCCATTCCGGCACACCAGTCACACGTCTCGTGGCCCCATAGGGAGCACCACCGAGGGCGATACTCACAACGGCGGTATTCACAACTGCACATGGTTGGGTCTTTCGCCAGGATAATTTACGTCTTGCTTTGCCATGTTGCAGTCCTGTGCGTCGCGCAGGGCAGGTGGTGCCTGTTTTGGGCTGGCCTTTGGCTCGCTCGCTGTAGGTTCCGTGGCCTGCCTGGCTGGCTGAACTGCTAGAGCGCCAGTTTGTCCCCTCGGCACTGTTGCCGCGCTGTTTCGTTCCAAGTTGCGTGGTGCTCGTGGGCGCTGCCGTTTTTTTTGGTTCGGCGGTGGCGTCAGTGGGGCTTGCAGATCTGGCCTGGTGGCCGCTCTGTCTTGGAGCGATGGCGAGGCGTGGGCGCCTGGTCCACCAGGTGGTGTCCCCGCCGCGGGCCCTTCGAAGCGATGGTCTCTGGTGAGACGATTGTTTGAGCTGGCCCCTGCTGAAGGGCGCTTTTGGTGGGAGGCTCGACCTTGACGATGGTCCACGGAATGGTGGATCCCTTGGACGTGTACAGTGGTGTTTGGTGGCGGCGCGGCCGTCTTGACGATGGAAATGAGGACCTTGGAGAGTTGTGTTCTGGTGTCACGCTCGATGCCCGTGATACGGTACTTGGTGTTGGCGAGTGCGGCATCGGTGCCTCTGAGCTCGAGCGCGACCTGCTTAACCTCGTTGGTGTCAAGTTTGGTGCGGATGCCCACTTTTTTGTCCGCGCGGCGGCGCCGTAAGCAAAATGCCTTTGTGAGGCCTGGTATGCTTCTTGGAATGTGTCCTGGTGGCCGAGTGGATGCCATGCCGTGATGGCCCCTTGGTACTGTGATAACTAGCGTCGGCATGGATGCCGCCCTGTCCAGACGTCGATAGGACCATGGGAACATCCGCTGGTTTGATTCCAAACGTGGCTGTCAATCTGGGCTTGCTCGCACCCATTCCGTGCCGATCCAGGAGCTTCATGGGCTCTTTGATTTGTGTGGTGCGGAAGTGGGAGGCGAAAGTGGGCGTGCAAGCGTCTGTGAGGTCGTCGTCCAGCTGGTACCGCGCGCTGTCGCGCTTGGCTGTCTTGTGACGCTCGTTGGTCTTCTGCTGTGTCGGGCTTGTGCCGCGCGATATGAGGGTGCCGTTGATGGGGGCGGCGCCGAGAACTGGATACTGAAGAGGTCCTCCAGCGCTGGCGTGACCGCGACGGCGTCAGCTTCGCACATGACGCTGCGGATCCATATTGCGCCGTCGCCTGGGTCGAGTGACCTGCACGACGTTTTGGAGGCAATTGACCTCGGTGCGGCCCAGTTGGTAGATGGTTACGTTTATGCGTACTGGCATAAACTTGGTCGCCTTTGCCGTTTGTCGGAAGGCAAAGATAACGAGCCTACTACCGTGGGTGACCAGGGCGGCTAGTGCGAAAGCTTTGTCCTGCCAGCGGATCTGTTGCAGGAGGCGGTTACCGTCTTCTAGCGAATGAATGGGCTGAGATGCTACTGGTGTATGGTGTCCCGTCCTCCGCCCTGGCGGGGACGAGGGAAGCAAGGACATCCCAATGTTGTGCATCTAGGCTGATGAGTGGGGCGGTCCCGTGGCCCTGGTGGGCGTCGGCGGAAGCCGCGGACCCTGGTGAGTCGCGGCTGAAAGCCGTCTTGTGCGTGAGGGGGTAATGCAGCATGGTGTAGCTGTTTTTGTCTTCCCCGCACAATTTCATCAGTTCGCCCCTGAGCTTGCGCTGGTTGGAGCGGCGCTTTGAATCAATGGTGTCGGGATTGCTTTCGTGCTTGTGAGCCAGCTCGTTGTATGCAGCGACGCAAACTTCGTTTCGGCTGAAATTAGTAGTCGATCCGTCAAGGTAGCCTTTGGGCCGCCCGTACCTGGTGGCTTGGGGTGCGGTGGTGCAGAGGGCGCACGGCGTGGAACTTTCACAGCCATGGCGCGCTCGCGGAACTGAAGGGCGGGTGACTCGAATCAGTCACGCGCTGGATTGGCGTGTGTCCACTTTCGCGATGCGTTCAACGGAAGTGCTGGGCGCCGAGTCTGTTTCTAAACCTGTACCCAAAGGTACTCGAGCCGAGAGTGGGGAGGAGAGGAGGGGGAAGAGGGGGAGGAGGAGGGGGACGAGGGGGAGGAGGGGGAGGATTATGAGGAGAAGGAAGAGGAGGGGGAGAAGGGAGAATCAGAGGAAGGGGAAGGAGGGGTAGGATAAGGAGGAGCCGGAGGACGAGGGGGAGGAGGAGGAGGAGCAGGAGGAGAAGGAGGAGGAGGATGAAGAGGAGGAGAGGACGAGGAGGAGAAGGAAGAGAAGGAGGAGGGGGGAAAAGGGGGAGGCGGAGGGGGACAAGGAGAGAGAGGAAGAGGGGGAGGAGGAGGATGATAATTAGGATGAGGATGAGGATGCTGGTGATTATTATTATGATGATGATGATGAGGAGGAGGAGGAGGATGAGGAGGAGGAGGAGAAAAAGGAAAAGGACGAAACCCTGTGTCGGCAGAAACGGTAGGCAAGCCGGCGGCGCCGCTCCGGGTCGCCTGCTGTGTCTCGCCCTTCCTCACGGCCACCCGCATCCGCCTCCGCGCGGCGGGGAGGGGGGCCAGCAAGCGGCAGCCCGAAGGGGCGCGACTGCCGCGTGCCCGTGCATGAAGCATAACGGAGAAACCAAACGACATTGGCGCATGCGTGTGCGTACACGTGCGTATCTTTCTCCACGCCGCGTGGGCTGGGCCAGATTGCGCGCTCGCCTGACCTGACCTACGCCGCGCCGCCGCGCACGTGGCCACGACGCCACAGTGTGCGTGTGCTTGTGTGTGTGAGTGTCTGTGTGTGTGTGTGTGTGTTCGAATGTTTGTGTAAGAGTGTGTGTGTGTGTGTGTGTGTGCGTGTGTGCCCTTAGGCGACCCGGGGGGCACCGCGCCACCGCCAGCCCACGTCCAGCTTCTGTTGCTCTGGTCCTCTTCTGAGCCTACAACCGCTCCTTCCGCGCGCCCCCCCTGGTGGCGCGCGGCTCTGCTGAGTGCCCGGCCACGTCCGCAATCCCCTGTCGGGCCGAATGCTCGGGCCTGATCCCCAATTTTGCACGCCATGGCGCACCCACGGCCGTCCACCCAGACCGCAGTGGTCGCCCTTGCCCCGTTCCCGCGCTTGCCTCCCTGTCCACCCTGGCCGGGGGGCAGCCTCCCTTTCTTCTTCGTCGACGTGCACCGGTTAGGTGCTTTCCCTTCGCCCGCCCCCTCTGCCAGCTTTGCTAGCTGCTAGGGGCACCGAATGTCGCTGCCGTTCTGGTCCGCCCGGGCGCGCGCCCGCTGCCGTCCCCCTGGCGGTGGGCGCCCCCCCCCTCCCACGGCCCACCCTGTCCACCCGGGCAGGGGGGCCGTCTCCCGCATTTTTTTCCTCTCCGCCGCGCACCTGTTTAGTGCCCCTCCCAGCCTCCTGCTCCACCCACCGGGCTGGAAGCGCTGGCTTCTGCAACAGGTTTGACCAGGCAAGGGCGGGCTCGCTGCCGTCCATCCCGGCGGCGGTCGCCCGCTCTCCCCCCCCCGCGGGCCCACCCTGTCCACCCGGGCAGGGGGGCCTTGCTCCCTTCCGCTTCGCCATGCACCAGCTCGGTGCCGACCTTCTTTTTCCCGCCGCCCCGGACCCTGCCGGGTCCCTGCTTACGGCCGGCTCACCCTGCCCACCCTGGCAGCTGGAGCCCTCCTGGTGCCCCGCTGGGCGTACGCTGGCGCCCTCCCGCCCCGCCTGTGGGTCTGGGTCTTCGCAGGCGGGGCGTCCTCCTCCTTGTCCGTTTCCCCCCCTCTCCCCTCTCTCTCCCTCCCTCCGCACGCCGCCATGGCGATGGGTGGCTGCTCGCAGCCTGCGCTGCTGCCCCAGGCCTGGTCTTGCCGCCCGCCGCCGCAGCGGTCCAGCAACTGCTGGGCACATCGCACCGGCTCCCGTCCCTAAGGACGCACCGCCATCTACTTTTGGCTTTGGCACTGTTCGCATCGCGTCCAGAACCAACTGGCATATCCCAGTGCCCGCACTGCGCCCCGCCGCCGCCGGTCCCCGGCGCAGCAGCCGCCGCCCACCCTGCTGGCGGGGCCGGCCGCGCCACTCGCCCCGGGCGTGACCCGTCCCCCTGAGCGGTCCTCGCTCCCTGTCTCCTCCTTCGGTCGCCCTCCCTGTCTCCTCCTATTTTTTTGCATTGTGGCAAACTTCGATTCAACGGTAGCCCCGTTGTGATTCCTCCTCCGCCAGCGCAGATACTCTGCCTAGCCGCCGACGCAAAAAATGTGTGTGTGTGTGTGTGTGTGTGTGTGTGTGTGTGTGTGTGTGTGTGTGTGTGTGTGTGTGTGTGTGTGTGTGTTGTGTGTGTGTGTGTGTGCTTGTGTGTGTGTGTGCGTGCGTGTGTGTGTGTGTGTGTGTGTGTGTGTGTGTGCGTGCGTGTGAGTGTGCATGCGTGCGCGTGCGCGTGCGTGCGTGCGTGCGAGTGTGTGTGTGTGTGTGTGTGCGCGTGTGTGTGTGTGTGTGTGTGTGTGCGTGTGTGTGTGTGTGTGTGTGTGTGTGTGTGTGTGTGTGTGTGTGTGCGTGTGTGTGTGGGTGTGGGTGTGCGTGTGCGTGTGCGTGTGCGTGTGCGTGTGCGT